TGAATTGAGTTGATGCATCGCAAGCATTAACTCCCTCATTTGCTCTTGCATTTGTGCCATTGCACTCTTCATTTCAACAAGCTCTGCCATAATGACACTAAGAAGAAAGATTTGTTTGATATTGCTCAAGACAAAAGAAAAGAAAGACTTGATAACAAAGAAGATACTAAGAACAATATCAGTTTAGAAGTGGGTAATCCGTAAACTTCTAATACGCTTATGTCTTGTCAAGAGAAAGGGATAATCCACTCTTACTCAAGAAAAACAAAGCTCTGATATTGTAAGTGTACTCTTGTCAATCTGTCAAGGACAAAGACTCGATGAGGGAAAATATACACAAAAAGGCTATCTCGATATAATAAGTCAAAATATAAACAAGTAGGTATATTAAAAGAAAACTAGAATGGCTATTGCCACAAGACAAGAAACTAAAGACTCTTGAACCTGGACTAGAAGCAAGAAAGGAGTTGACAAGAGTGAAGAAGCCTTCACTCTTGTCTCTATATATACTATCTAACTAAGAGCTACGTGGCAACGTTCTATAGGACCTCCAATAGGTGTTGACTTTGTAGGGCACATGCCTTGACTTACAAGGCAAGTTTTTCTACGTGTGGGCCACATAGTTAGCTTGATCTTCAAGCTAACAACATGTGTGGCACATGGCCAACTTGTTGACCACGTTTCTAATCCAAAAAGTCAATTAAAGACACCTATGAAGTCAAAGTAGTATCTAGGAAGTTTCTAGGAAGCTTCTATATTAAATATTATAGAATTAAGTTACTTTTATCTACTTTTACTTACTTCTATCTATTTTTATATGTAATTATTAGCTTACATGATTATGGCCGTGACACTCGTCACAATTTCCTTGTAGTAGAATATTTTGGATATAATAAGACTTTGGAGCTTATATTCAAAGATTTTTAATCACCTCAAATGTGAAAGGTTGTTAAAGAATTTGTTTAGACATGTGATGTTTGTTCAAGATCAAAAACTCATTGTTAGTGACCTTATGGACTCATTCAACCATTACTTATACCAAAACAATCATGGACTTTTGTCTCTATGGACTTTATTACGGATCTTTCAATTTCAAGTTCATATGATTCCATATTTGTGATTGTAGATTATTTCACAAAGATGGCACATTTTTTATTATGTACAAAATCTATGACAGGTAAAGAAATAGCTAAACTCTTCCTCGACAATACCTATTGCTATCATGGATTACCAAGAGATATTATATCAAACAAAGAAATACAGTTTTTATTGAGATTTTGGAGAATTCTTTTCAAGATATTGAAGGTGGATATATGTCACAAACATAGACATGTACGCTAATAATTACCTGTATAAATAAGTAGAAATAGATAGAAGTAAGTAAAAGTAAGTTAATTCTATAATATCTTCTAAAGAAGCTTTTTAGAAGCTTTATAGACATTGTTTTAACTTTATAAGTATCTTTTATTGACTTTTAGGTTAGAAACTTGATTAACAAGTTAATCATGTGCCACATATGTTCGTAGCTTGAAGAACAAGCTAAGTATGTGGTGAACATATAGAAAAAACTTGTCTTGTAAATCAAGGCATGTGTCCTACAAAGTCAATACATATTGAAGGTCCTATAAAACATCACCACGTAGCCCCTAGTTAAATAGTATATATAGATACAAGAGTGAAGCCTTCTTCACTCTTATCAATTCCTTTCTTGCTTCTTGTCTAGATTCAAGAGACTTAAGTTTTCTTGTCCTTTGGCAATAAGCCATTTTAGTTTCTTTTTTATATACATATTTCTTTATTTTTATTTTTTCACTTTTTCTTTGATACAAATTTTATTGGTTTATGCATCATCTTCCAGTTCATGTCCTTGATAATATAAAACTATCTTTGGCTTTCCACCTTCAAATTGATAGACAAACAGAATAAGTGAATCAAGTTTTATAGCACTATTTGAGGTGTACCATTAACTATCAATAAGATGATTGGACAACTTTTTTGCCATTGATAGAGTTTGCTTATAATAATTTGGTACATTCTTCTACTCAACAAACACCTTTTTTTTATCAATTATTGTTATCATCGATAATTTGACACTTTTGACTTTTCAAAAATTGATAATCTTGCAATGGAAGATATAACAAATCAATTGTTAGAATTACATGTAACAATGAAGGTATAATTAAAGGAAGCTCAAGAACGACAAAAAACCAACGCAGATGTCTATTGCAAGGAACAGCTTCAATTCTATGTGGGGGATAAGATATGGTTATTTTTTTATAATATTAAAATTATTTGTCCTTGTGACAAGATGGATTATCATAGACTTAGACCATTTTCCATTTGAGAAAAAATCAATTTGGTTGCTTATCGATTATATCTACCAGAGTTTATGAAAATCCATCTTATGTTCTGTGTGTCTTTACTTGAGCCATACAAGATAATGGATATACAAGGAAGGAGACAAATGCCACCACCTCTTATAGAAATAGACAATAATAAAGAATTTGAGGTAGAAGAAGACTTAGATTCAAGGCAGAGCTAAAATAGGTTAGAATATCTTGTACATTGGCATAGATATGACATTAACAAATGCACATAAAAGCTATCTAAAAATCTAGCAAATGCATCAAGCAAAGTTAAAGCTTTTCATCAATAACATCCATCAAATCCAAGTTGAAGAGTCAAGAAATTTATTGCTATAAAGCAAAGTAAGTCCAATGGAGATTTTATTCTATCTTATATCATTTTTTTTTAGATTTTTTTAGTACTTAAGAGATTGAGAACCAACAACTAGCAAATTCAACTCAAGAGCTATTGTTTGTTGAGCTACCAGATAAGACATTGCAACTATCACAACCTTCGAGATGGCAAAATTGAGATGAAGATCCTCAAGAATAACATATACTTTTTCAAATAGATGGCAAGATACAACGCATTTGATACCACAACCTTGGAAGAGACTTCTAGTGTTTAGTGATACTTTTGGAAGTGAAAACCACTCTTGATGGTGTTATTAATGTTTTATTTGAAGGAAGTTATGAAGGCCTCAATAATGATCAAATATCAAGGTGGTCTTCTCATCCTAGTATAGAACATTATCAATGATTGAAGAAACCTATCAATTACCTTCAAAGGGAACAAAGATGAAAGTACATAGCAAATATAATTCGGTGCGTCTTGGACTTCATCAACATATAATCATCACTTTTTATAGAACTCGTTCTTAGAAGGAGGCATATTTATCCTAATAATTATCTAGATAATAATAATAACAAGAAGTAAGTCAAAGTAGATAAATATGATAATATCTTGTGGAGAGCTTCTTAGAAGCTTCATAGATGTTATTTTGCCTTTATACATGTTTATAAGTGATTGGTAGGTTGAAAACTTGGCCAACAAGGAGGCCACGTGTCAATATGTTGACTACTTGTAGTATAAGTTGGACATATTGCACACACCTAAGAAACTTGCCTTGTAAATTAAACATGTGTCATATAAGTAGGATGTGTATTAGAGGTCCTATAGCATGTCGCCATGTAGTTCTTAGTTAAGTAGTATATATAGAGGTAAGAATGAGGCCTTACTCACTCTTGTCAACTCCTTTCTTGTTTTTAGTCTAGTTTCAAGAGCCTTATGTTTTCTAGTCTTTGGCAATAGCCATTCAAGTTCTTCATTGAATATACATATTTTTTTCTATTTTTTCACTTTCTTTTTGATACAAATTCCACGAGTTTATGTATCTTCTTTGAGTTTGTGTCCATGAAATTATGATAAATAAAATTTGGTGTATATATATATATATATATATATATATAAAGAGAGAGAGATATATACATGTTAAAATGACCTACTCATTTACTAAATTGATCTATCCTATTGTAACCATCATTAAAAAAATGGATCACCTCCAAAATCTATCATTATAACATGACCCTCATCCCAACCTCCCTAATTTCTAACCCTTGCTCTATATAATTCCAATCTTTTTTATACCCCCCTCCATTCTCAAGTCTCATCTCAACTTCCGTCATTTTCCTTCATTATTGACAATAGTGTGGTTTATTTAGTAAATAGGTGGATCATTTAAACATTTTCTTATATATATATATATATATATATATATATATATATGTATAAATAATTTTTATATTTTATTTGGACAGAAGAGTTTGAAATATTATTTGTTGGTATTATAATACTTTAATCATAATATAATGATACTTCCTAAAAAATTGATTACTTTGAAAGTTCTAATATATTAGAATATTTAAAATTTAAAAGATTAAAAAATCATAAATGTGAAATGTATATTTTAAATTAAATTTATTTTGAAAATAAAATTTCTTTCAAAAATTAAATTAAAAAAAATCGATAAATTCTTTAAATTTCTTTAAATTTTATACATCAAGAACTAATATCTTTTTATAATTAATTACCCAATCAACAATCTTTAAGGACAATTAGAAAAAATTACCTAATTAACAAATCTAAAAAATAGACAATAATTTATTTATTTATCTATTTATGTGTTTATTTATTTTCTTAATGCTATGTTGATATAAACTTAACTTACCTCAATCTAGAAAATCAATTTCTTGATAAGAAATGATAAAAAGAACTATGCACTTACTAATTGTAACCCAACCCCCCCTTTTCAACCACACCAAATCTCCCCCCCTGCAATTAACGGACGATTATCGTAGATTGAAAACAGTTATCATCCATAGCGCTTATGCCAGCAGTGCACTCTCATCGGCGACGTGGCACCGCCATGGACATGGCGGGACATGTCACGAGACGTCCACGTCATCGAGGCAGCGTCCAGGTGATAACGACACGTGGTGCGCTGGCACAACTCCTCTGAGTGGCTTTGTTGCTCATGCGCCTCTGTTCATCCACGAATCCCTCGATTCATCGATTATGCACCATACATTCATCTACAGGCTTAGTTTCATCCATTCACCCTTGAGGCTGAGGAGAGGAAAGGGAGGAAATGGTGCCGCAGGACGCCTGTGTGGAGAGTTTTGTAGGAAGTTTTTCGTTTTATTTTGTTAATGCCACCGTTGCGTCCTCTCGCTCGCAACACAAGCCACACCTCCTCAAAAAAGCCATTATTCTTAATTCCTGTTTCACGGTCAAATTTCATGCAGAAAGTTTTCCATTTAGGGCTTTGGCATTGTCTGCGGGGCATGCTCTCTCGCTGGTCTCGTGGGTTTGTTGTGTTGGAGGCTGGCTCTGGAGGTTTCTGTATGTAAGTTTGCGAAGTGTTGGCGGCGCTTCTGAGCAGTTATGTTATTGTTGCGGACAGTGTGAAGAGCGACGCGGTCGAGAGCTGTTGAGGAATTGTGAAATTTTTTAGGTGACAAGGGACAGGGGGTTGCGGGGGATAAGGGATTTAGGGGTTTGGAAGTTTGGGCTTGGGTTTAGGTGCGCGAGCATGTGATTAAGCCGGTGAGTGTGAATTTTTAAGGTGTAATCGGAGTTGATGGGTTCAATGATGAGTTCTTAGTGGATGTGCTACTTGGACTCTGCTCAGCGTCAAAAAACTTCGCCGTTCTAGTTGTCAATCTGCCCTGCATCACTATCTGTGGAAATTTTGACTTGCTTGGATATTAGTAAGCGGGTGCTTATCTTGAGGTGGTCTAGTGGAAAGGAACGAGTTGTTGTGAACGACTGGTGGTTTTTTTGCTTATTGTGTCTTTGTTGGAGAATGAAGTCATGAAGGGGGTGTTGGTGCTCGCAGATACCCATTGCGATTCAGTTCCAGATGTTATCTCAAAACTTTTGCAATGGCATGAATCGTAATTCTTGTTCAAGGCTTGGGGTATGTTCATCCAGAATGCATGATGGTATGAGTCTCTGTTCTTGATGATACCTCCAGTTTGTGTGGGCAAAGCAGAGCATGCGACGCAATTTGTACTCATACATGCTGCTTTACAATGCTTTTGCAGGTTGCACGTATTAATTGCAGGTATGCGAATCCGGTCTGTTTGTACATTGGGCCAGATCATCCGCTCCTCTCTCTCACGCGCCTGTGCACGAACAAGCTGGAATGAACTTGTTGGTAACCTCAAAGCCTTTTCGTCAGCTCGGTACTGCAAAGGATTGTCTGATAGTCACGAGCGAGTTTATTTTATAGTTCCAGCTGCTCGTGGTGGCATTTCGCAATCAGTGATATGGAGGACTTTTTTAGTGCCGGGGCGGAGTTTTAAGGGGACTGTGGTTGGGGGTCCGACTTTGGCAGAGACAAGCCCTGCGCAGGTTATGCATCAGAAAGGGTTTGTGTCTGTGTTTCAGATTTGGAAATCATGGAACTTGAAAGAGTTTGACAGTTTCTTTCAAGGGCTGAGAGAGTTCTCATATCGAAAATGCCACTCCGAAATGTATTGGAGACCAGTTTTTTTTGTCAGTTTAGCTGACAAAAAGGGTCAGGTATACCTGTTCATATCGTACTCTGCAGGTGGTTTTTTTTGCTAGGAAGGTACTAGTGGCTAGTTTCTTATCAAGTCCAAATGCTCGTCTTGATTACATGATTGTTGCTTTATTCAAATAAGATTTACCGCTAGAACTTAATAGGTGGAATATTAAAATCGAAATTGAAATTAGATGAAATTAAAACTTTCACAATTTTAAATTTATGGAGATTTTCGCAAGTACCCCGTTTGAGATTTAGATCGCGAATCTTAGCAGCAAGCGTTGAGTAAATTGCAGAATCTTACTCCAAATTCCTCGCTTGATCTTCAGATGTTGTTGCAATCATTGGGTTTGCTGGTGGGTGAGGCTTGGTATCAACGCCACAATGGACTGGCAGCGGCGGAACAGCTTCATGGCAGTTGGGTGTTGACAAGTCAGACTCACGACACAAGTATCAAGTCTGTGCTCAAAGAGGTATGTCAATGTTTACTTTTTTGAATTAGTATGTACTATGGCACTAGTTGACCTGCTTGTCAAAGTGGACGTAAATGTGCATTTTAGGGTGTTTGAAGTAACTCTGTCTTTCTCACAAGGAAATAAACTGATATCTTCGTCCGTTGTATTGGTTGGATTTTTAATGGGAAAGACAGTCGAAGCGATTATACTCTGGTTTAGGTTAATATATTTGGTGGTACTCTTTACTCCAACCCTTGTTGTTGGGGTCTTTATCAACCAGACCGAGGGAGGACTACGGAGGTTTTGGTTACATCTTTTACTGCGGTCACTTGAAGCTGCTGGTAACTTCCCCTATCACGAAGTTTTGTGCCAGTCTGCGTAGTAAAATATGTTTGGACTGTATCCAAATTAGTATTCTGTGACGAGCACCTTGTATAATCTCATCAATTTGAAATGAAAATTTTCAACACTTGAAATCATTTTATGACATTCATTGCCCTTTGAATGTTCCTATTTAAGTACTTGAAGTTGTACCAAATGCTGGCACTATTCTCTTGCTCAGGTCCGGCCTTCATAAAATGGGGACAATGGGCTTCTACACGACCTGATATCTTTCCCGCAGACATTTGCGACGAGCTTTCTAGGCTGCATATGCAGGTTTGTGCAAATTTCCGTCGAGCTTTAAAAATATTGTTAAGTCACGGACTATTTTGGAGAGTGTTTTTAAGCTTTTGACGTCATGAATTTATCGGATGGTTATGGCAGGCTCCCAGGCATAGCTATGCAGAAACAAGGAAAATCATGGAGAAAGCTTTTAGGGTTCCTATTGAAACCTTATTTGACGACTTCGAGTGCGAGCCTGTGGCTTCCGGTAGCATTGCTCAGGTGTGCAACATAATTTTGATGGCTTCAACTGTCATGTGTTGTCAATGGGCATGACCTTTGCTATTTTTCTGATTGGATTGATACGTTGTATTGTGGTGGATGTTCTAATCGTTGCATGGTTGTCTACTTGTACAGATTCACCGGGCTGTGTTAAAGAAACCTCCTGGAAACGGTCCTCCTCTAATTGTTGCTGTGAAGGTGTGTTATACTCTATTTACCAAGCCCTTATGATACCCAAAAGTGAATAAATAAATGCTACAACGGGCAATAAATGAAGGCTATTTTTTTTCGTCCGATATTTAGATACCCAAAATAGTTTTATTATTATTTTCTGTTCGAATTATTTGTTGTTTTTTTTGTCTCTGTTTTTGTTCTGTTCTTTTAAATTTTTCTATTAACTTACGTGAAGGCTATTGATGGTGAATCGGGTTTCAGGTTCGACATCCAAAAGTCAATGACCTTATACAAAAAGATTTTGTTATCATCAGATATTTAGCTCGGATATCAACAGCGCTTCCAGGCATTAAGCACTTACAGCTGGATAAGAGTGTTCAACACTTTGCTGCTTTTATGACCAGGCAGGTATGTAGTCATAAACAAACGTACCTTTCAAATCTTTGATACTTTGAGGTCTCGAGTCAGCTAATAAATAAACTGTTGTTTTTTGAGTGAAAGTATGTAGTGAATAGTACTTCTGCTGTCTATTTCTTCTGTATCATCACGTGGACCGTAGATGGTTGTTTAAGTTAATGAAATTGTGGAGAAGGTACAGTCTAATGTACAGAAATTATTCGTTATGTTCTGCTGAGGGTTAGACAGTAATTTATACTTGTGGATGTGAACAGGTGGATTTAACATTAGAGGCTGCTCACCTCCAGAGATTTATTTATAATTTTCGAAAGTCAAAAGATGTTTCTTTTCCCACACCTATTTATCCATACGTGCATCCCACAGTTTTGGTAGAGGTTAGCCCCATCTTCCTTATGCATCTTCTTTCATGCCTCCACTACGGTCGTATCTATTTGCTATTATTTAGACTTGTGTTTTGCACCGTAGTACGTTTTGCATTCGTGTTGTGACTGACTCCATGGAAAGGAATCAAATTTGTTGATATATTACGAAATTGTTGAGATTGTATATATTCAGACGTACGAAGAAGGGCTTTCAGTGGCGAAGTATGTAAATTCAGGACCTCTGACAAAAACACACTCACAGCTTGCAAACATTGGCAGTAGCTGCCTCTTAAAGATGATGCTTGTAAGTAATGCTGCGCTAATCTCTTTCATTTGCCACAATTTCATTTTCAGGTTCCATTTTTGTTATACTGACGAGGTTATTTACGTTATTTTTTTAATCTTAAGTTGTCCTTTGTAAGAGAACAATTATTGCACTTTTGAGCTTTACCCGAAGATATTCATCGTATGGCTGAGCCGTTCGTTCAGAGTAGCAGTCATTTGTTCTAGACGAAGTTCTTACAAATGCCTGGATGTATGTGACAGCAAGACAATTTTATTCACGGAGATTTACACCCAGGAAATATTTTTGTGCGATTTGTAGACAATGTTCCCAAGATTGTCCTTTTAGATGTGGGCATGACAGCAGAATTGAATTCACACAGTCGGGCAGTAATGCTACAACTTTTTAAGGTTAGTAATTTTTATTTCCTTGGTGATTAGGGTCTTTCTATCATAAAAAACCTTTGGAGTTTTGCATAATGTTGCATGCATTAATAGCCTCTTGTTTTGTGAATTATCATTTGCTCGTACTTGTTTTCAATCCTGTTGAAGTAGTAATACACAAGGTGCGGATACTGATGTTTTCGTGGAAAACGTCTGGTATAAGTCAATTCATGGTTTCATGCTCAGTGAATGGCATAGCCGCATCGTGGTTTATCTTTTTATACATGCTATTTGTGAAGCATCGTGCAATTGCTCTAAATTCTGTATAGTTATTAGATGTTCTGATGTATTGCAGGCTGTTGCATCTAAAAATGGACGTGATGTTGCTACTTACACTTTGCAATTTTCAGATGATCAGACTTGTCCAGATCCGGAGGTAAGAAACCATGTTTACTTATTTTTTTTGCGTTGTATTTGGGGTACCGTCTCCGCACTGCATGTTCGGAACCCAGCAGCAGTTAAAACCTCTTTTGTCCGAATCATATCTATATGAGTAGATGCTAGTACATGCGCTTCTTTTTTGCCTGCTGTTTCGACTTTCATCCACAAAATCTTGTGGACACTAATCTCTACTATTGTGTTTGATGAACAATTCCAATTACAATTGCGTATAGGGACAGGTCTTGATATTTGTCTTGTTCTTTGTTATGAGTAGGCTTTTAAGCAGGCCGTGGATGATAAATTTAAAGAATATCTGTCCATTCGAGGAACAGCGAAAAATACTGGCGAGTGTATGACTGAATTATTTGACCAAATACGCAAGCATCATGTGAACATGGACGGCGATGTGTGCACTGTTATGGTCACTACTTTGATATTAGAGGTCTGGCCACCTACTTCTAAGCTTTCACTTGTTTTGTTCTATATCACCTTGAATCTTGAAACACACTCGTTCTAATAATAAGAATAATAATGTTATTAATAATTTTGTTAAAAATACATATGTTTTTCTTCTATTTGTTGAATATTCTCTGAGTTTTGATCTACGCTTTAGAAACGTCGAACTTTGTCTATTTTAATGCTGTGAATGTTTCTTCTAGCTCTGTTTTAGGCATGTCAATGGAAGGACACGCGTCTTTAGTGTCTCGCACATGTAAATATTGCAAAGTAGTCTTCGCACTTCAAAGTTAACAGAAAAGAAAAAGATTCTGACATGATTCTGTGAATTGATTGGTGCAGGGTTGGCAAAGGAAATTGGATCCTGATCTTGATTTGTTTAAGATCTTGGGAGACATGTTGATGGCAGCAGAATATGCAATTCCTTTCGATTACACCATAAGTGCAGTTGCTGCTCCATGATTTGGGGCATATTCATGCGATTGTTCTATATTATTTCACTTTCATCATTGAAGAAAGTCGATAGTGGTTCCAAATGTGTGGAATGACTTGGGACGACCTTGTGTACCTTGGACAACCTCCTGAAACGGATTTAGTTCCTATTCCATTCAGTTTCAGTTTCAGTTTCTGTTTCCACATCTACTAGTTTTTTCAGAAACTTTCGGAGCATTACCTGTAGTTAGTACACAACGCCACCCAATTCTTAGTTCTTCAAGCTAACCGACCTGTGCTGGCCAAATTTGAAGGATGCCCAACTTGTGTTTCGGCAGTGAAGTATACAGGCCTGCACCTTGTAAATAAACCTTATTTTAAAAAGTTCCATTTCTAATGTCTCCTCAATTTTATATAACATTCTTAAAGAATCATGCTACGAAACTACTAATTTAATTCTACTTCTTTTGTGATACTTTTCAAGTTGTAATAGTACACGACTACTCATACAAAATGATCCACGGTTCAAAACTACATAAACCTTTAAATGTTAATTTTTCAAAATTTGTCACGATAAGAGACCTGCTGGTTTCTACGAGAAGATTTTTGCGAAGAGACTTTGCAAGTTGAAATAATTGTTTGCCCAATTCAAGTTTAGTTCGTTGCAAAAAGACATGGGTGCTTTAGGTTTGTTTAAAGGTTTCATGGGTGAACAAGCTTCGACCCTTTTTTGGATTAAAGCCTTGTGTGCGTGGTGTCGCTGGGCTTCAGAATGCCGACGGATGCCAACCATGGCGTCCATTTGTTACGCGAATCTGCTTGTAGGAAAAGGCACCATGCGGCAACTGTAGGATCGCCCAAATGGCCTCTGTGTCTCGGCACAGCTTTCGCTGCTGTAGGCCTATCCATGGTACATCTGCCTTCGACTAGGGCTCTTCAAATTCGAAAAGTTTTCGCAACGAAGGTCTTGACCATAGAGAATTACGGAACTAGTTCCCATCTTGATGATTCACTGGTGGGGCCCGTTGGTTGATGTATAGTGTCTCAGTATTTGAGACTTGAAGTTAGTGATTCCTTGTTTCGCTCCCAGGAAATGGTACAATGTGGCTTAGATTTCCTTGAAAGATATGCTCGTTGGAGGCTGTGAAGCGAATCAAGGCGCACTGTCAATGTGAAGTGATTAATTGTGGTAATCACAAGGAGTGCAGTCTTCATTGTTGTAGGAATTTGTTTTATTTGTGAATTCTTGTCTGTTTTATTTGTAGTTTTAGTGGGTTACGTCGGAGAGGAGGCCGTCGCTGTGGCAGACTGCTTACATCTGCTCTATTCATTTTGTTGAAGTTTCTTTCACGCGGAGAGGTTGGTGTGAGAGAGAGAGTGAACGTGAAAAGAAAGGTTAAAATATTGTAACTTTTTGGATATGGCGGCAACGAGCGCTTCTCTTCTGGTCTTGCCCAAGATTATCAGTAGGACAGCTGGGTCAATTTCTACGACTTCGAGAAGAAGTCCAACCTGCTGCACATCATTGTCATCATCTTTGAGATTTTCTGGTTTGACATCGCCTCTCTCATGTCCGGAGCTTCCGTTTTCAGGCAGGGAACCGAAAGGTCTTCGCAAAGGCCAGAATTCAGCTTCTAGTGCTAGTCGTATTATTTCTATGGTAAGCACTGCTGTTCTCGCTCATTTAGGTTATGCCGATCTTCCTCCTTGTCGTTGCTGAATGACAGGATTCTGTGCATTTTCTTCTCAATCGCGGGTAGAGGAAATTTCAATTTTAGAAGGATTGCATGAAGAATATATGGCGGCTTTAGCAACACGGCACTTCTGACTAGAGCAGGACTCAGGTTTTAGTACCAATAGTGGTGGAAATTGTGCTGCCGGTTCAAGTTGTTATTGCACTGCTCTTTTTCTCTGTGAAGTAGATGAAATTTACATCCTGACAAACATTCGCGTCCGATTCAGCGTCATGGGAATGGCTGGCTTTTGTATCCGTAGTGTACAAACAATGAATTGCGGGACTTAGCTAGTGAATTCTTTGACGACAGCCATCAATGGTTGCGTAAAATATCTTCTCTTTCAATTCAATTTCAACGAATGTGTAATGCCTTCATGATAGGAAAGTGGACATGACCATCTTTCGTATCTGTGAAGTAGGAGCGTCGTTAATTCAAGCAGCGAAGAGCCCTTGCAAAATAAAAACACACACGTATTTTTTCCTCTGTAAAAGCCTTGCTTCTTCTGCCCTGTTCCACTGAGGTTATCTATTCACTGTTTGCGATAGACACCCAGTAAGAACGCGATTCATAGTCCACATTGAGCGTGATGCCGCGAATAGTTCCAATGGGGTTCACATTATTCTCGTCAATAGGGACGTGACTTTTTTTGTATTCACCTACTCTATAGAAAACAAGCTTCCCTTTCTGAATTTATTCTGACTATTATTTCCATTGCTGTGCAGACGAGTAGTAGGTCAAGTAGCCCTACGCCAAGCTCTGGCAACTCCAATAAGATAGTGTTTGTGGCAGGGGCTACTGGACAAACGGGTAAGCGCATAGTAAAAGAATTGCTAATGCAAGGATATGAAGTGCGAGCAGGGGTCCGTGATATAGAGAAGGCTAAGGAAACACTTCCTAAGAGCGACAATCTTGAGCTAGTGAGTACCTTATAATCCTAGTCAGGTGCAATAGAAATAATTGCTAATTACGTTTATCTAGAGGATTATACTCAGTCCCGTGATCAACATAAAATCGATGGTAGTCGAAGAGACATTGGATGAATTGTAACATTCTATTTACTTTTATAATACCGAATTCACCAGAATCTGACAAGTTAAAGCTAATAAGCTGGAGGGTTTGAATATGTCAAGGTATTGGCAGATGTAACTGGAGGAGCGGATTTGCTTGGTAGAGCCATTGCTGGTTCAAACGCAGTTATAGTTGCCACTGGCTTTAGGCCTTCGTTTGATATCACAGCGTCATGGAAGGTAATTCTTACTTATCATCTAAATATTCTTTGGTTAATTAGTCACTCATATAGTTAGCTATTTTGATGTCTGTCTATACCGCTTTTCTGGAGAAAAATTTGAACGGCAAAGTTGCCTTGTTCCCAGCGGCTTCCAAGTGTCGTGAACTTGTGCGTGGTGAGCACTTTTCAATAATTGTAAGCAATTAGCATGAGTTTTCTAAAATAAAAAAAATCATTTGGCAGGTTGACAATATTGGTACGAAGACCATGGTTGATGCCTGTCAACAAAGAGGCATCAAAAGAATGGTTCTCATAAGTTCGATATTGGTTAACGGTGCTGCTATAGGACAGATCTTCAACCCCGCCTACATTGTGCTCAACATTTTTGGACTGACTCTCGTCGCTAAGCTTCAAGCGGAAAAATATATGCGAAAGTCTGGTATTGATTATACTATCATCAGACCTGGAGGCCTGAAGAATGACCCTCCAAGTGGGAATATATTACTTGCGAAAGAGGTACATGGATAGGTCGTTGAATACATGATCTTGTTTTGAATATCAGCTTGCAGAAAAATTCATCGAAGGTTTTGTTTTCTGAAATCTATGAAGCCCTATTTCACGAGTTGTGTTATTTTTTTTTTACAGCGTTTGATCTTGTGTTGAGTTAGTCTAAAGTTATCGTACTTCTTGTGAAATTAACAGGATACTCTTTTCGGAGGTTCTGTCTCTCGAGACACTGTAGCGAAGGTTGCCGTGGAGTCTCTCAGGATTCCTGAAGCATCATTCAAGGTGGTGGAGCTAGTATCAAGTCCTGATGCCCCTCCCGAGTCTATTCAGAAGCTTTTTGCTAAGCTAAATTGATCAGAGTTTGTATAGGTTTCATACCCGATTTGAATTGCACCTCAACGGTCAGTATTCATGAATTAATGACGATGAAGATATTGCTTGTTGCCATGAGCACTATTCGGCGATGATGTCATGTTCTTATTATGTCATGCGAACTGCTGAATGTGATATTTGTGCCTACGAGCCGAATGTTAAGTGGACCGTGAACTGCTGATATTGATGATAACCCCCATTACTCTTGCAACATGTCAATAGCGTACTGTTCTTGTTCACAAATTATATCGCCTGTATGAGTGATCATCTGAACCCAAGGCACTAGAAATCTAGCCTCAAATGTGATGTCGTCAGACCAAATAATTTGAGACTCAAACATACTGCATTGCAACAGTGGATCATGTGGAACACTGAGATGTGCTTAAGCTGACTGTCGAAGGTGTGGTATTACAAGCTCTCAAACAAGGCGACTTTCTTCTATGAAGAGCCGTTGGTAAATTATGCTTGATTTGAAGGAAAAGCTGCAAGCTTGTTATTTTCTGTGTTCCGTTACATGATGAGGCAATTTTATGGCTGTACTTTCTTGAGAAAAAACTAGAACCTGATGGTGAATCTGCGGAGCCACAGCTCATACATAACCATGTGAAAAGCGTCGTACTTGATAGGGGGTGAGTGCCACTCAAAGTGTCTCCGGACCTGCAACCCGTCCCTCAGCCTGTCAACATGAGATGAATGGGGTTGCCAAGCGGTATCAACTTAGCACCTCTGTGGCAAGAATCTTACCTGACGCACACCAGCATGTAACATACGATACTTTTGCACAGTAACTGCTTGGAGGATCTTTTTGAGGTTGTCATACTCCCTTTCCCTCACTACGAGGGAAAATTTTCTCCAGTCCAAGATATCATTGAAGGGTAAATCGTAGAAATCTGCCATAATAACTTCTAAACAGAAGGCCAATGCTTAGTAACCAAAGAGTAGATTCAATCTCATTGTCTGGAACCAATTATAGTAGGTTCCACGAGCACTATTTTCTGTTTTTAGTTTGTAATCTCCTCGACATATACAGCGTTGTGTGTTCTAATGTACCACTCAAAGTGAGACTTACCAGGAACGCAACCATAGTGTATTGATTCAGCAATCCGAGCACTGTTTACTTGTGATCCTGCGGGACAAATGCAGAATTTACTCCGATAGAATTGATTTTGGTAGATGTAATCTCCAGTGGACCGATTGAGTCGATTATTAGCGACGAAAAGGATAGGGTCATACTGCCATGCATCTGCCAGATTTACTCTCACTTTAGAATTCCTGTGACCAGCCCAAAATCCTAGGACGGTCCTGCACAAGATAGTCAAGTTCATCGGGTTCAATATGGTCTGGACATTAAATTGCAACATTAAACTTGATTTGTTTATGAGAAGTTTTGTCTTCTCGTTTACCTATTATGAATATCATCTCCTCCAGCTGGAAGTGGAAAGGGTTGTAACACTTGGGGAAGAGCAACATCCTTATGAGGGATGAAGGATCCGTTGTAGCTTGGGGAGCAAACAACTCGTATGGAATTTTTCACCAAATGTTCCACTTTTGCGGTTGCACGAACTCCGACATCGTGACATGTTACAAAGAAGTGATCAGCACCTACAGTTCTATTCCAAAAAGGGTATTTGATGATTAAACTCTCCACATAGGCCCTTACAATATCCGCCATCTTCTCATAGCTCAAACCCTGTATTAAGAGAGTAAATCAGCACTTCAGAAAATGATTTTCCCAAAGAGAATATGTGCATAAATCGTCCTTAATAATTCTGTACCCTATGGATTTAGATGTAAATTAAATTGTAACCCCTCAAACATTTTCACGAGGTAATAGAAGAGAAGAATGTGTCCAAGGCTACACAGAACCAAACACTGGAAGGTGGAGAGCACTTCATCGACCAAATCTTAGAATAATTTAGACATTGAGTGGTTACTGATGCATAGAAACCAGTTGTGTGACAAAATAGACAGTTGACGACCTCATCTCATTCGGGCGGAAGCATTTTGCCTTCTAGAGCAAAGTTGCTGCACATTAATAAGTTTCAGACTGTCATGTGCCCCAACTATCAAAGTGCAGGAGCTGCTGAAAGAGCTTATCTGTCTAACTTCCATTCCGGTATTGCTGCATTTCGGTGGAAAGCTTACTGATGCAGCAATTGACCAAAACAAGTAAAGTTCCGTGCATAGAAAGTAAAACCTGACCTTGCCTCTCATCTTATGACAGGAAACGGGAAGAAAGAAGAGATCAGCTGCCGCGGAATCATTTGTCACAAACCGGCTCTCTCGAAGGTTTTGGAAAAAGTACCCTTCACTGGAGTATTTACCAGTCAGCTTGCGCGGTGTTTGGTAGTAGGTCTCCGGATCTCCGTCAGGATACACGTACACTTTGAACTTCTCCTCCATCTCTTTGAAGCTTCTCTGAAAAATGTCCGTCGAATGGTAAACTTGCTCCATCACTTCCCGGCTGCGAGAATAAGCTGTCCTTCGAGAATGCCCTCCGTCTTTCAGGTTTACTGCGAGCACATCCTTCTCCACGCCTGAGAGCAGCATAGACGAACTCACTCCAAAGTAGTAAAATGCCAGCACAAGAAGTGCCACTATCAACCACATCCATCGCCAGTGGCACTTGTGCATGAGTCCATATTTGAACCAGCATTGCGAGAAGCTTGAGTCAGCAATCATCCTTGCCACCACACGAGACCGCTCCCCTTCTTCTCGACTTCTCATTCCCTCCATAGCTGCATCCTCCAGTGGGTTTCTCCTGCAATTGGACTCTTCTTTTCTCCACCTCAAACCTCACAATAGAAGCAGCAACATCATGAAAGCTGCATCCTCTCACACGCGCACACACACACACACAGACATCAAAGCTCCGAAATCAAGCATCCTCGGTGCTTCTCAAATCGGTGTAATGGAATACGATGGCGAGGGTTTTGAGGATGGGTAGCGAAGCTGTGGAATTCCGTTATTTGTTGGTGTGCACTCCGCTTCACATGAAATGCCTTTCTGTGGACGACATATCAATCGTCACCGTGAGAGACCTCAAAGAGAGGACGAAAGACTGGACCAGGATAAACCATCACTGTCAAATGAATGAAATGAATTGAAACAATATCTTTTAATATTTTAGGAATTTTTTAGGAAAAAGATTTATTTGCATGATGCTAGAAAATCTTTCTTCATAAAAAAAATATATGTTTGAAATTGACCATTCCATCAGAATATAACAGTTGATAAATGTAGATTATAGGACTAGTAGTTTAGTCTCACTTCAATTGAATAGATAAATTGTATAAAAAGAAGCAAAATTATTAAACAAAAAAGCATTGAGAATGGAAAATAGATTAAAAGCACCACATTTTTAGTTGCAATTAGTGATTATTGAGAGAACTATATACAAACCACCTATGTACAAGCATTCACATGTATTTATAGCAATAAAATTTGAGATCATTCAAATTTTTATATTCTGTAGTTTATTGTAATGATTGCTCAACTATTTGTGATATTATCGTATTTCTTGTGATACTCATCCACCCTTTACAATGCTTTACAAGATGTGTTCGATAACTTCAAGACAAGACCACAATAACAACTCCTCAAAATCATCAATCATTAAAAATACAACCTTTTGTTCTAAAAAAATCACATTTAACTAACAACTTCAAAGAGAAAAAAAGTATGTTGCTACCATGAAGTAGTACCATTACTCCAATTTAGGATATTAATCATCTGTGAATCCAATTGTCTTGGGTAAAGAGTAAAAAGATGATATGTGAAGTAACACTCACAGTTGTGTAGAATGATTTGTAGGACTGTTTTCATGAATATGCCAAGTTGAATACAAGTGACATCTTTACCATGACTTCAAGAGTTCATGACGCATTTTCACAAACTGTGCCTGTATGGGTAGGACATCCAAAGTTCTAAATACTCAAGTAATAGTTGCAACTCTTGGTCCCAGCTCAGAATACTCGTGTTCATTGCAACTCTTGGTCCCAGCTTCCTTAGCATTTCCAAGTCCATTGACTCTTGGTCTTGTCAACTAAATTGAGCTTTTCACATTGCATGTTTTATTAAATTATAACCTTGAACCTAATTTTAGATGAAAAATCTTATTTTATGATATATAAGCTTTTTATGATTATATTTCTATTATTATAAATTAAAAAGGTAAATTTAATTCTTTAAAGTAAAAAAACAAAATAAATATCTAAAATTATGAATTTTAATATTAAAGTTAAAATTTTATTATATTTAATATTATAAATTAAAATTTTATATTTAATTAATATACTATTAATATAATATTTTTATTTATCATTAAATTATTTTTATAAATATAGTCTATTATTTAATAAATAATTATAAATTTAAATTTATTTCTATAATATTTAAATAAAAACTTAATTTCAAATTATATTTTGGTTTGTGCTTTAATTTTTAATTATATTCTTATGTAACAATTTCTACAAAATATAACACATTTACTATTTGATACTACAATAAATTTAGGTGATAAGAAGTAAATAGATACTTTTTTAATACAAAAATAATATTTAGATTTATTAACTTACTTGACAAGTAATATCTTAGAATTTATTAAATATTTTTAATAATTAATTAATTTATTAAATATTTTTTATTAAAATTAAGAATTTTAGAACATTATTATAATATCATAAGAAAAAGCTAATATATTTTACAAGCAATCATTTAAGTAAAAATATTATTTTTAAAGAATTTTTTTTAAAAGATATTGTTATTGTTATCACAACTTTTGCTATTGCTACTACAACCTTCTATCCACTATATGCCACTTTTGTTCAAAACATGTGAAATCAATCAATTTTTTTTATTTAATAACTTTTTAACTATATAATTGATTTTTTTTTATTGGAATAAAAAATCTAAAGAAATATATCAAGCCACTGACAACTTGTGGTAGCAATAGAAATGCTTTTTAAAAGTATATTGAACCTTTTATTTTATAATTTAAAAAAAAAAATCTGTGCCAAAAAATAAGACATGTCACTTAATATCATTATCATTAGAACTATAAAATTACTATAGATATACACAAAATCAAAATCTATATCTACTATTAATTATTAATAAAAACCATATAATTTTGATTATATCAAAGATATAAAAATTTTAAAGTATAATCTTTAAACTTAATTAGTGAAAAATTTAGTTGATAAAAATATTTCTATAGATGAGTATTGCTTTGATCTTAAAGGCATGAAATTTAGATTCTTGCATATTTCAAATCACAAAATCTTTAAGTTTATTATAGCATGAAATATGACATGTCACTTTAAAACATTGATACAATATTTAATAAAATAATTTTCAAGTGATATAAGATTATCTAAGCTATTTTACTTGCTTAAAACTACTTTAGTTTAAGTACATAAAAGTTCTTAATATACTAAAGGCATAATTCTTAATCTTCAATTAAAAATATTATATTTATACTAATGATTCAAATACAAAAATTAACTATAATTTCAAATCTAATTCTTCTATTATTGTAATAATATAAAATAATAATATCACTAATATCATATAAATGATTTTTTATATTATTATTTTAATAACAAAATAATTTTATATCTAAAGTTATTAAAGAGAGAAATTTCTATTGTATATTATATCTAAATTAACACAACCACTCAAATCTAAGTATGTCAAAGATGTCACTACACAAAAGGTATCACCATTAATTTTCATCTTTATACAGCATCTAAGAGATAATTCTTCAAGTTTATAGGCATGTCTTCCAAATTCTCACAACCTTCGAGCCACAATTTCTTCAACTTTTTCATACCATCAAATATAAAGTTAATCTTTTTCAAATTGATACAATCTTTAAAATATAATTTTTTAACAAATATAAAATTGATAAATTCATTGTGTGTTGTGTCTATTTTAATACAACCATTCAAATCCACGTATGTCAAAGATGTCAATGAGAGTATATATGGAAGCAAAAGTGAAGCCTTCTTCACTCTTGTCAATGCCTTTTCACTCTTTAGTCTTGTTTCAAGTCTTTCTAATCTTCTTGTTTTTGACAATAGCCATTTTAGTTCAATAATATATCATTTTTGAGTGACTTTTTAGTTCTTTTCAGTGACATAAGAGTGTATTGAGGATTTCTTTCTTTGATATTTATGTCCTTGACATAGGCATGTCTTTCAAATTCACACATCCTTGAAACCATAATATCTTCAATTTTCTTATACTATCAAACTTACCATAAATCCTCTTCAAATTGATAAAATATTTAATAAAATATTTTTCAAAAGATATAAGATTAGCAAATCCATTGTATATTGTCTCTACTTTCATACAACCACTCAAATCTAAGTATGTTAAAGATGTTAATATAATATTCTTCAATTTTTTCATACCATAAAATATAGTATGAATCTTCTTTAAATTGATACAATCTTTAAAATATAATTTAAAAAAAATACAAGATTAGCAAATAATTTAATTATATTTTATAAATTAAAAAAATTAATTAACTCTATTAAAATCAAAGATGATTCTAAGTACACTTTATCACCTATTTTATCTCATATAATTTATAATTTATAATTTATATAATTATATAAATCATATGATATAATTTATAATTTAATATAAAATAATTTTAATACTATATTTAATTTTTTTTGTATTTTTTAATTCAAAAAAATAATTACTTTATCATATTCAATTATTTTATTAAAATAAATATGTAAAAATAAAAATAAAATAAATTATCTTGTAGAAGATATTATTTTAGATAAATTACTAATAGTCAAAGGATTGACTCTTGGTGTATAAAAAGGGCATTCTATGGATATAATAGAAGGTCAAGGATCAAGAGTCAAAGTCAAGATAATAAAGTATTAACTAAGAAATATCCAAAGACTAGGTAAGAATAATTAATGTTTGGCATAAAATACCATTGTAGTTAGTGAGATGCCAAAAGATCTTAGGACCATGTGTATAAAAGTCAAAGTGTGAAAGTTGTCATTTAGGGTAGTAACCACCACCTATAAGTATAAGGTATTGAAAATAAGAGATATCTTACTCTATACTCTCTTTGTATGCAATCTTGTTCATATTAAGTATTATATCTTCAAAGTATTTTTTGTTTTATAAAATTAAAAAAATTACATATTCATTAATGTCCTCATGTCATGTATCTTTATAAAATATATATATATATATATATATATATATATATATATATTATATCTATTTTTTTTTTTTTTTTTTTTTTTTTTCATTAAGATCGTTAAAACTAGGCTTTAGTCTTTTCAAAAAAGTCTATATCATCCAAATTTTCTTCCTATATGTACAGTCTTGTTTTCCTATTTGAAGAGGAATCTATAATTTTGAAATGTCTAGTATAAGCTTTTATTAATTTTTTAGAAAATTCATATAAATATAACATATGAAAAGATCCATCTTTAAAAAAATGCTTGAAAAATATTTTTATACTTGTGCTTTCATCAACTCAACTTAATTCTATTTTGCTTAATTTACTTATAGAATTTTTGAATATATTTCATTCACAACTAATGACTATAAATTTTCTTCTTATTATACTTAATTTTATAATGTCCTTTTTTTTTATGATTCAAATTATTATTAAAAATTATAAGAATTTTTTCTTAAAATTTTTCATTATAAGAATTTTTCTTTTCTTCAAGATTTATAGCTTTACTTTTGTTATCTAAAACTTATAAAAAAAAATTAGTTAATTCTATCAAATATTTATTTTTTAGACTTTATAGAATTATATTATATAAGTAAGTTGTGTTTCTAAAAGATATTTTTTTTTATATTATTATTTTTATTTGAAAGAAGAATTTATTTATTATATAATTTTTTATCAATATGTTCTTTAAAAGCCTTCATCAATGTAGTCTTATTTATGCCACTTATACCAACTACTATTAAAGTAAATAAGTAAAGATGAAAATAAAATAAGTTATATTATAAAAGATATTACTTTAAATAAATTGCTATTGTTCAAAGAGTTGGCTCTTAGTATATAAGAAGGCTAAGTGATAAAATAGATGAATGGACAAAGGATCTTAAGGATATAAAAAATATACTAAAAGTATATTCTTATAGTAGATAAGATAGCT